AATATTTTTGTTTCGATTAATGAAAAATGCCATTCGCGTGATTTCTGCAAGCCTCTCTTCATCGAGCTTGGAATCTTACCATTGTCTTGCCTACTTATTTACGAATCTGTAATATTTGTCAAAACTGACTTACTTAAAGGTGGGAACATTTTTCATGCAATACTGATATTTATGATTACAACACACGTCGTAGAAATCACATTTATCAGGTGTCAGTATTAACAGCTCACTACCAGAAATCCACATACAATACATGTACGTAACTTTACAAAGCATTGCTAGACGACATTAAACAACTGAAGTCCGTACACAAATTTAAGTTAAAAGTTTCATTTTAAGTTAAATCATTTTTGCTGCATAACTTTCTCTATACAATTAGAGACTACTGGTCATCAAAAAAAATTATTTTAACAGTATCAATAACAGGTTATCTTATCATTTTTATATATAATAAATTAGTTTACATTTGTATTGTATACTTTTTTAAATAGACTTACTATGCTTGTAACAAATAATGTACTTCAGTTTTCGGGTCAATGGCAGATCTCGATCAGATTTTTTCCAGTTTTCGTGATACATGGAGCAAATGATGAGATGGCCCCTTGCTTTGTTTCTGGACGTAAATGTAGCTTGACAATGCGCACGTTTTTGATGTCTCGTTTTGCTTGTAGTAGTAGGAGTAGAGGTAAGGACGAGTTTCTATTTTATTAGCAATGCAGAACATTAAATCTGCAGTTCGTTTACCGATATAAGTTTTCTGGAACTCGGGAACGAAAATGTGTAGTTTTTCAAATGTCGCTAATATCGCGCTTTTTTAACATTTAGTTTTTTCCTGCATTTATTTATTTATCTCGAAGTTTTACTCATCTTTCAACTATTTATAGAAAACGTGGGCAGATTATCTTCTCCCCATACGTCACACAGATTTAACTGTTTTTACTAAATAAATATAGATATTTATTAGGATTCTGATCTTTAAAAATTGGCATGCAATATTTTTTTTAAAACGAATAGTTTTTTATGTAATTTTTGCTTGAAGTTAATGCAAGTTATGAAGAAATTCTCAAAAATGGCTCCAAAATTTTACTCTAAATTGTTTCCTCAATGCCTTACTCAAAATCGTTGCCTATTAAAAACTGATGCTTGTCCCACTTTCGACAAACTCTCTGTAATTTCGAAAAATGGCAAAAAGTAGTGGCACTCCGACTTTCTCGTATTATTTCTAATTTTGCAGTTTTCGACAATTCAGAGTTCAATAAAGACGTGATCTGATCCATTCTTTTAAGCGTTCTTGGCCGTGGAAAATATTTAAAGGAAATTTTGGGGTGATTTTTTTAGATTTTTTAATAATTTGCCTTACCTTTAGAAGAAACTGCGTAAAACATTCTCGTTTTAAAAAAAATGTTTTCTAAAGAGCTGGTTTTTTAGAACAGATTTTAATTAAGACGAAAATCCCTATCTTCGAATTTGTAGTTTTGCAATTTACCTTTTTGCAGTTTTTGAAATTACAAAACAAATTCCGGAAATGGGACTAGACCAACTGTTTTACCTTTCTTTGTTGCTTACGAGGAGAAAATTTAAAGAAAAAATAGTTTTTTAAAAATTGCCTAAATTTCACGCAAATTTACACGAAAGACCGTCATATTTTGGAAAAATTGTACATGATAATATTTCGAAATCTTTATTTGGAGAGCAGATTTGATTAAAGAAAAAAGTATATATCGTCAGTAATGTAGTAGAAAGATTGAACCTTTGCAATTAAAAAAATGGATGTTAACAAAAATAAGATGCGCGCCATTCTTTTTAAAGTCCTTTACCTTATCCGAGAACGAAGTTTAATCCATATTTGAGAAAAGGCTATAGTCGAATAAGGGGGTGTAAAGTGTCTCCCAACCAAATAGATAATCGCGATACTCATATGAAAGAGAATTTAAAAAATGTCTTAGATTCCCCAAAAATTAGCCTCCTATTGTAATCTATTAAAGAGACAGAACGGGAAGCTCTCAAATTTGAAGCGAATTTCAAGAAAATCAATTTCAAAAATTTATTAATATTTTCTATTTGAATTTGGCGTCAAAATACCCTCAAACTCAACTAATTTCCTCTCTCTCTCCAATTTTTGCAGCCTTATTCATGCAATAAAAGCTGAAAAAATTAAAACAAGAAAAATACGTTTCTCATTGTATCTCTGTAGCAGATTGCTCTTGGAGGCCGATTTTTGGAAATATACATTTTTTATTCTCTTTCATATGAGTATTGTGAATATCGATTTGGTTTGGGTGCATTTTTCATCTCCTTATACGGCTATACCCTTTTGAAAATATATTTGGAGCTTCGTGTAAAGTATACACAAAAATCGAAATATCTGGTTCAAACTTAGAGCGCTTCGAGTTACTGTAATTAATCGAGGAATATAAAATTTGGAGATAATCGGCTGAACGGTTTAGGCGTTATTGTTGATCATCGACACATAGACAGACAGACATACTGTGTTTTACCGTCAATCAATTTTTAGGCATCAAGGACCGACAAAACATGGATTCTACCAACTCAAAGTATTAAATGAAGTTATTTACTGCATATAGGAACAGTATTTATCCACTTTTTAGGTACCAGGACCCATTAACGACGAAAATTCGCTCTTTCCCGGTGAACAATAACATTACTGTCCCTTCTTACGAAGTAAGTGCGAGAAAGGGAAAAGGAAAGAAAAAACTCACTTAGACAATGATTAAAGCTTTCACTCTGAATGTGGTGACTGTTTCCTTACGTTACACGATTTTCGAAATCCAAAATCCAAAAGGAAAGTAATATTAATTTTAACAATGACTTTTAATGTATTATATACCATTTGGATTGTATAAATGTAAAGAATCTGTAACAAGAATTGTACTTCAGCTTCAGGGTCAATGACCCCCCATCTCGATCAGGTTTTCGTCAGTTTTCCTGATCCTCGAGCAAATGTTGAGATGACCCCTTGTTTTGCTTTTGGACATAAATGTAACTTCAAATTAACATCTCCCCATAGCACGTCACACACAGTTTTTAACTGTTTCTGACATCAATAAATAAAATAAAGAAATATATGGGAAGAGAAAGTTTTACTTTAGAGTCGTGATTGGGGTAATTAGAACATAAACATATTAAAAAGCCCTCAAACCTACAAGATGTGCTCAAAACATCAATAAGGTCTTTTTACTTTCTCTCCTTACTTCATAAGATGAGAAAGTATTGTAATCATGCGCCAGAAACCGTAGAGTTTTTGACAGAAAATTTTTTATTGTCGGGGCTTGGTAAAGAAAAAGTGGATTAGCCTTCTGTCTTTTGTATGTAGTCAATTACTTCATCTAACATTTCTATTGGTAGAATCCATGTTTTGTGGGTTTTTGATACCGAAAAATCGACTGACGGCAAAACGTGTGCCCGGCCCCTGTGTGATCAACGCTAGTGCCTAAACCGTTCACATGATTTTGCTCAAAATTATTATTCTCCGATCGATCTAAAAACACTCGAGGTCTTCCAAGTTTGAAACGGGTGTTTTATTTACATTTTCAAAATTTCAAATACATTTCCAAAAGTTTGTCAAAATCGGCTCAAACTTGTATGATTAAGCTTTGCCCTCGAATAGTATAATGGGCGCTTAAAATAATGGCACACTTCTCATTTTCATTAAAATCACTGAGTTTTCGAAAATTGCAAAAGTTAAAAATTTTTTCGGTGTCTTTATACAACTACAGTAATGAAGATATATTTTTTCTTTAATAAAATCTGTTCTTCAAAGATAAATATTGTAATAATATCTTGTACATTTTTTAAAAAATATGAGTACTTTTCGCGCGAAATTTTGCGTGAAATTTAGACAATTTTTAAACAATTATTTTCTCAAAACAAGACTCAGTTGCAAAAAGTTAACGTTGCAAAAGTGGAATATTGAAGATAGATATTTTTTATTTAAAATCTGTTCCGAAAAAAAGGACTTTAAATAAGGTAATGCACAATTTTGTGAATAAGGAAAGGGGTAGCTTTCGCGTAATTTGTTCTCCAATGTAATACAAATAATAAGAAAAAACATTTTCACTAAAACCACTCAATTTTTTTTCTTTAAATATTTTCCACAATAGATCATGCGGCTCTTAAAAGAATGGTACAGATCTCATTTTTGTTGAATACTAATTTTTTGTAAATGGCAAATGTACAAAGAATATGAGAAAATGTGTGCTGTTGTGGCCCCACTAGTTTTTTTTATATTATTATAATCTTCATAGAAAATGGTGATTAGTAAATGTTTAGTTGTCTTGCTTTCTAAAGAAAAAGCGAGACGAAAACAAAGAATCTTATTCTTCGTCGACCCGACCAAGTTCTTCAGAACAACGGAACCAAACTCAGAAAATATGGATGATCCCGCATTTTACGGGTCGTTTATGATCTCTAACGTATGGCGAGAAAGTAAAAAGAACGGGTGGCAAGATAGAGCGTTTCGTAATTATTAAAATGGGGTTAACACATGCGCTATATGTGCGTTACAATAGGTGGGGGTCTAAGCTTATCTTGCGTTACGTGATTGCTAGTTGCACGGGAGTGATGGAGCCTCGTCGTAAAATGTTTCCTGTTTCCATACTTTTCTCATACAAAAATATGTTTATGCTTGATAATTTTAGCAACTTCTCCTGCGATTGGGATATGAAGTGAGAGCTCGTATGCAGTAGATAAATAACTTTTTTGTTAAATGTGATATGGAATTTGGCAGAAAACATTGTGTAGCCTATAGACCTGGAATACATTGAAAATAATACAAATACAGCATTACTCATTTTCGAATGACTAGACTACATCTGAATACATTAAAATATTAATTCGAATGTCCTTGTGTATATTTTTATTTTAATCGTATAATTAGTGACATGTTCTTAAAGTTATCTTTCCTGAAGTCTCAGTAACTGAGTGATAATATGCTGCCTGAATTTCCCGCCGAATAGAATTCCTCCACCGCTAGATAGAACTAAGATCGCGCTTAACCTCTGAATATAGACGCTCGTAATATTCCTCAATGTTAAGTAGTTACGATACGTTCTTTGACAATGAAATTTTCTTTATTAGTCGTGAGATATGATAGTATTATGTGTGTTAGCTGTTAATTGATTGAAGTGAAGTTTACTTTCACTCAAACAAAGAAATAGTTTTATTTTTTATGCGTTCGCGGTCTTCGCGGAAGAATATCCTAGTGAAGTCCCCGACATTCAGTCGCCAGTAAACATAGAAGCCATAATATTTTGAGGTAGGCCTCTATTGAAAAGTAAACATTCGTTACGAGTATTAGTCTATAATGGCCAGAGTTCATGCGCGTGTGTGTGTTTACAAGAGTAATTGAGGAAGAGGATCATCTTCTTTTGGTAAGGAGATTCTACTGTTCCGGGAAATAAGAATTTTCTCATAATGTGGAGATGCATGCCTACCGTGACCAGCTCGTGTCATACGTATTGTTTTAGCAGTATTAAATAAACATCGCTGTCAGAAGCACTAAAATACTGAAGGCACGTAGCAATGAGTAACAAGAATTGTGTACTTCCTTGTTTGTGTGAGATGCGAATGCTCTGTTGTTGCGTGTAGGAATGAATCATAACACACAGCATATGATGTTGTGCAATGGAGTAACGATAGCAAGATAAATTTGCAACTCTGTGTATGACATTTCCTCGTTAATGCACACGGTAGTGAGAATGATGTATTTAATTACGAGTAAGCATTCAAAGCATTGTATTTTCTGAACACTTATAAGGGACTGACAAAAAATTTTCTAATTTTAATTTGAATGCAAACACAGTTCAGTCTTAAATGGTCAGTTCTATTTGTTACCCAACAGTTTCTTTTGTTAAGATGTATCTTCAGTAATCATGATGTGATGCCATCATCAGCTGTGAGTAAAAGTAAATAGTGTGTGAAAAGTGGTTAATGGTGCTAGTAATAAGTGTTGTGGTGAAAAACTAGTACAAATTTGTTCGTGGATTGTATTTGCTTGTGTGGAATGTTATGGAATGAAAAGAGACTTTGTGTCATTCCATTGGTTGTGTAAAAATGTTTTTCAAATTTGAGAAAATTCAATCAAAAATTTCCATTTTATATTAACACTTTATCAGAATACATGTGTAGACACTCAATGTGTATACACTAAGTGTATACAACATTTATTGTATAAATCTTTATTACAATATATCAATTGTACTTGCAGAGTTTGAAGTAGTTAAGTGACCACTGCAATGGATGCTGATGAAGCTGAATCATCAGGCTCAGGGGGCCCTATATCATCATTGAATAGCCTCTTTTCCTTTACAAGTCCCGCTGTGAAAAAGTTACTAGGATGGAAACAAGGTGACGAAGAGGAAAAGTGGGCAGAAAAGGCAGTGGATTCACTGGTAAAGAAGCTGAAAAAGAAAAAAGGTGCAATTGAAGAACTAGAAAGAGCATTAAGTTCTCCTGGTCAAGCAAGTGACTGTGTGACGATTCCCAGAAGTTTAGATGGTCGATTACAGGTAATTTTTGATATTTGTTGTATTATGAACGTACTGTAACTTGCAAGGCAAAATAAATAATATAAGCTGTAAGTATTATTTTCTGCTATGTCACTTTTTGGAGGGAAATTATATCACCAAAATTTAGTGTAAAAAATTAGTTGATATTTATTAATATTGTTGAAATATTTTTAGGTTTCTCATCGAAAGGGTCTACCTCATGTTATTTACTGTCGTGTTTGGAGATGGCCAGATCTTCAATCTCATCATGAACTGAAGCCAATGGAGAATTGCCGCTATCCATTCTCTGGCAAGCACAAAGAAGTCTGTATTAATCCCTATCACTACAAGAGAGTTGAAAGTCCAGGTAATAACCTTTAATAGAAACCTTCATTGTAGTCATTACATTCATGCTAGATCTTCGTAATTTGTAAAACCATGTAGAAGATAATTTTTTAAACTGAGACTAGATTGTACTAAAGATTTTCTTAAATGTTCTTGCATGTGTATTCCAAGTTCACTTTACAACTCTATCTTGGAGATGAATACTTTTTATTTTCTTTGGTAATTATTGTATTGGATTAGAACATCCAAGAAAATTTAAAAATCATTGAATTTTAATTACACATTTGTAATTCCCATCACTTTAAAATGTACTTCAAATGTTACTTCATTTGTTCCCAAGATCAATAAGTGTTCATAATAATAGAAATAAACAGATTTATGGCACTTGATTTATGGTTAGAAACACATTGCTTTAAGAAAGGACTCAAGATCTGGTATTTTAGTAGAGAAAATTAGGAGTAATAATTTTGTTTTTGTGCAGGAGTCTATTTTTAAGAGTCATTTCATTATTCTCCCAATTTGTGATGATATTTAAGGAAGCCCTGGGAAGTTAAAAAAAAGGTCAAGAAAGTATTTATATTTTGGATCAAATGCACAGAAGGCTACTTTCTGAAGAAAAAAAAAAACGAGTAAAAAGTCTGGAAATGACATTGATCTGAAGAAAAAAAACAAAACACAGATCATTTGTAGGTAAATTGTTAAAATGAGAAATTTTTGAGACAATTCTAAAACTAGTGATTAATACTTAACCCTTCAACATGGGGTCCTGGGTGAATGTGGTGGCCTTTCAAGGTAGTTTGAATTGAAAGGAGCTGTCAGCAGCAGGTTGCCTGCAGACCACGTCTTGTGAGGTCTGCTGAGGGAACAGAAAGTCTGGTGACATGCTTTCCAACTCTGAAAGTGTGCTGTATTTTGAAAATGCATTGCATTGCATTGTGTTGCTTCACATTCAAAATAATAATAATAAGGAAATTGAGTAAATAGAAAATAACTCATTTCTCATGTACTCTTGTATCACCAGATATTTCTAAATAATTACATTTTTTTGTGTGTTAAATAGTTTTAATACGCTACGTAGTGTGATGTACTGTAAATAAATAATTTGCTTTAAAACACGACCACAAAGAAATACAAACACTATCGTTATTAAAATATTAATATTGACAACCATAAAATAAGAAAGCAAAAATTCACTTTAACACACTGCATACTAGAACCACAGAGTACCCTATGTTTGTAAACGACGGTCTGCAAATGTGAGGTAACACAGGTAAAGATCCTGTCTGTTTTGGAATGGCTCTACCTGAATGGCAAGAATAATCAATTCCATCTTAGCATGGCATACTGTGAATGGAAGTGGAAGGGAATTGCTCTGTGGAAACAGCAAACCACGTCGGAGGGTTAAATAGCATTGATATGTTATTTTGTCGCAGTTTCAGGAGGGGGTCGAGACCATTGTTGATTTTGTATTGCACAGTGAAATCGGAAAGCTGACAAAGATATCAAGGGGTACGAAGTGTTTTGAATCATAGCGTCTTTCTCACAATGAAGTAGAGCAAGAGTTCTTTTTCTGTGTGTGTTAAAGAGGGGATGTCAAATACTTGTTCTTGCTTATCACAATGTTCTTTTGTAACTCACCCAATATAAAGCCATTGGCCCATAGGGTGTTGTTCAGGGCTTATTAGAGGTGCAAGTACCCACAGGTCAGAGCATGTAAAGAATTAAAGAGTAGTTTGCAGAATGCTGGCCCTTGCCTCAGTTTGTTTCCTGATGTCATTTTGGTGGGTGGTAGTTTTGCGTTTTAGTAACAGAATATTATTTAGCTGGCATAAAGAATTGGATAAAGGGAAGAAATGAAACTTTCTTGGCATGAATCGTTTATTGGGGAAGTGTTATGCAGAAACAAAACCTTCTAACCAAAATTACTTTTGTGCTGTATTTAAATAACTAAAATATATATTGTACTATTGTTTAATTCCTATTAAGTAATAGTGTAGTAGACATGTTAATATTTCCCAAATTAGTAATTGCTATCCAAGTCTTCCTTCTATATATTTTCAAATAGGTGAAAAACGCCAACAAATTTTATTAGGAGAAAATGAAATATGTACTAGCAAACTGAAAAGGGTGAAGAATGGGGGAAATTTGTTCCAGAAATGAGTGTGGCTACTATATATCAGAAAAATGTTTTAAGATTGGTATGTAAGGAATTCTGAGAATTATATGAATAATTCCAATGGTAGTTACTCAACTAAAATTTGTACCACTGGTTTTCTCCTGTGAAATTATTGGAATAATCCTTTTAAGTTGTCAGGAGTGTAATTAATATACTGAGGAATTGAATAGTTTATTTATTAAATATTTCTAGGATTATTAGTAACAGTGGTGTTGTTTTGTGATATTTGTATTTTTTGAAGTAGCAAATTTAATATTAAGTGGGGGTAACTAAAATTTTGGGGTAAGGAAACTACATTGTAATTGGAAAGTATTCTTGTTTAAGTTTCATTCAAATTGACTTCCATTTTCAAATGATTGCAATGGTACGTCCATTTTGGTTGGAATGATTTATATCGAAAGTGTTGTAGAAGAAGAAAAAATTTAGTGCAGCTGTTTTAACTCCTAAAAGTGCTTAGTTATATTTTGTGCATCAAATCATTGCAATATTTTGCAAAGTGCAATATTTTTATTTTAAATGCTTTAATGTTAATTGGATAAAATAATTTGTAGTAACTAGAAATAAAATTTGGTTGGGTTGTGGTTGAATTTGTACCCTTATAATGTCCTATTCTGTCTTAGGGGAAAAAATTCTTAGCATTTTGTGCATCATCTTTTCCTTGATAGGTTGAGTGGAGAAACTATAAGAAAGATAATGAACTCTGGCGGTGCAGTTTTCTTTTAAATGCTGATGTTGCATTACATACAAATTAACTCTGAAGTTTTTTTAATGTATTTCTTGATTGTTGTCCTGTCTGGCAGTAAAACCTGCTGAATATGGAAGAATTTAGAAACATGGAATAGTATCTACCCTATTAGTAAATTAGTTTCTTTTTGATAATGTAAGGTAGGAATCGATTAAACAATAATTTATAAATTGTTAATGAAGTAGGGGTGTGGGTTTTTAGTAGTAATTTCATAATGAATTTTAATATACTCAAGCAGACCTGAATACTTGGCTACCAAATAACTTAATCATGGTTTCTTGTATTCAGTTATGGAATTATTTAAAGAAATTCACTATTGTATATATACTAGTGCTCTTTCTTTTTTGTGTGTGTGAAATCTTCAATAATAGAAATTGACGTGTCGCTTTTCCAGTGGCTGAGAAAGGATTACAGAGACCAGCCTTTATGAAATCTTTTTTCAGTTTCAGCTAATATCGAGTGTTTATTATTTTTAAAAGTAATTTTAATTTTCAAATTCAGCAGTATTTTCTTGGAAATGTTTTCTATATCTTGCGTCTTTGGAAACGTATGATGGAAGTCCAATGTACATTGAGCATCCGCTATTTCTGATATTTTATGTTGAAATGCCTAATTTCTTTGAATTGTGTTGTTTTTATTTATTTATGTACTCTGGCACCATAGCCTCGTAAGACTATAGCCATGGCATGACATCCCAGTCTGATGGGCATGGGCCCGGAAGACATGTGGTAAGCAGGCTGTAACCCAGTGGCGTAGTTAGGGGAAGGGACCACCACCCTGGGTGACACTAATTAGAAAATTTTATTAAATTTCAAAGAGTGTTTTTAAATAAAAAACATGCATTTGTTAATTAGTTATGTCATTTTAGATTATTTATTTAAAAATTATATTTCAATTATTCTGAATTACATATAATTTTGTAATATATTATAAATAAATGTCATGTGTAAATACACTTGCATTTTATTGAGTAATGTGTAAACAAATCAGTTATAGATATTATGTATAATTTGTGTGTGGCTGGGTGTGGGGGGTGATACAATTAGTTTTGCTCCAGGTGGAACCAACTGAAGCTATGCCACTGCCATAACCCCTTGCATGCCTTCCGTTTTATTTATTGTGATAACAAAATTAATGTGTTGCACCCTAGATGTGTATTCATCAAATTCAAAAAGAGAAGGCTGAAAGTCTGTTATGAATTATGTGTGCTATAGATATGGTTAGTGTTTTCTATCAAATGGGTTTATTTTTTTAATTCTATTATGTTTGTATAGTTTTTGTTAAAAGAAAGTTAACGGTAAATTGTTTCTATTAATTGAATTCATTTCATGGTCAAATAAATAAAAATAGTACTCGTAGAATAATTAGAAAATTATTTTTTTCCAAAATTTTCAATTAATTACATTGGTCATCAGCATTTTTGTAAAAAAGAATGTGAATGGTCTTCATTCAAAGACTTTGATACTGAATTAAAAAATGATATCAGTTTTTGTCTATCAGGCTCAATTTTCTCATTACACACTTCTCTTTATTTATATAAATACTTGAAAACACTGCACATTGCTTAAGTGGGTGTAGCTTCATTTAATAATCCTGCATATGCAATTGTACAGGAACAATAAAAATTTGTATAAGGAATTCCTATATATGACACTGAATTCAGAAAATTCTTCTTTAGGAAATTGCTCATAAGTCATGCTCGAACATTAGAATCACGTTGTCTTGCGAGTTGAGTCCCAACATTGAGATCTGACAGCATGGAAAGCGGCTTGAATATGGCTGTTTTGTCAGGTTCTTGAAGGCTTGAACTTTGTATTAATTGAGAAGAATAAGAAATGCCTCGTAACTGTGTAAATAGTCCAGATGTGTTATATTATGTTTGTGGAGAATGAACTCTGAAATCGCAAAACCGAACCTTTATCCTCTGGCGAGGAAACGTGAACTTTATTTGGGGTGTAAGGTAGGTGGCCAGAAGAAGAAATGTACCTCTTATATATGCTGTGTGTCGTGTGTGTAACACTCCTGGCATGCTGGTTAAAAGGTTCACGACACATGCCCTTTGCTGTTCTCATTATTTGGAAGGAACCAATGGATCAAACAACACATTTAATTGTGCCTGACAAATAGCTGGAATCGCCTCAAAAACAAAGAAAACTGTGCAATATCCTTAATTACCTTCTGCTATAAGGCCTGTGTTACAGTGAAGAATTGCCAGTACCACCACTTCCTGGGAATGTTACAGTGAATGAAGATAAATGCTACAGAGACGAACATTAAAAAAATAAGAGGAGATATCCATGTAGACACAATATTTCAAGCATCCTGTGAAAAATTCCAAACCCCCTTTTCACTTTCCATAACACTTATGTTGCATTTCATAGCATAAACACATGGATCTGTTGTTATTAGAGCATGTCACTTTGCGATATATACATAAGGAGGCATATGCAATTACAAAAACCTTCACATGAAAACTGATGCCAATACAGAAATTCTGAAATTAGATCTGGATTGAGAGGCAAATTATCTTCCAGAAACAGTGTGTTTTGTTCTTGTTACAGCAAAAAAAGGTTGTTGTTTGTTTGTTTTGTTTTGTAGACCAGTGTTGTCTCGCAAATTAAATTTCTTGAATAGTTAGAAATGTATTGGTTTTAATGCAAATAATGTGTATTGTACCATTTCTTATTGCTAGCATATAATCTACACTATTATTTGTAATGGAAAATATTTGAAACAAATTAAGGAAAATTAATAAAAAATGGAAGCATTGTTGTGTTGTTGACGTTTTTCCTTCTAATAAACAATGCAAAGAGTTGAGGCATTCTGATTTCAAATTAGCATTAGTGGTATTTCAGCTATATTATTGGATGGTTACAAAACACCAAGTTGACACTCGTTTGCTTTGAAATGTTTTTTGTTAGGAAAGCAATTTCTATTTTCTTGTATACATACCCTCTATGCTGCAGGAAAAAGTCGATATTTTGGCAAAAATGTTTGGTAAATCTTTCCTCATGTAGGACCTATTTTGAGTTTGAAAATTGCAAAATTAGAAAATCCCTTCACTAATTACATTTATGAATTTTTTTCCTGAATGAAATCTAATTTTCAAAATTAGGTCTTAAAATAATGCTGAAGATGTTTTGAAAATCAATAATTTTCGCATTAATTCAAATGAAATCTTGTCAATTAAAACCTAAAGGTGCTTCAACTGCACTTACTTGTAACAGCTACTCATTGTTATAACGCTCTGGGAACCTGCAAAATGTTTCCCATCCCCCCAAAATATTTTTTTCTGCACTGGGATTCCAACAAAGGATTTTTTGTGGGTCCTTGGTACTGAAAATCAATTGACTGCAAAACATCTGTGGTCAACCGCTAGTGCCCAAACTATTTAGCTAATTTTCTCCAAAATTGATATTCCCTGCTCAATCTGAACGAATTAGAGACTTTTAAGTTTCACCCGGATATTTTGATTTTTGAGAGTACTTGACATAAAGTTCAAAAAACGTTTCCAAATTTTCTCAAAAATGGCACCAAATTTTTTTATTAAAATTTGTCATTGGATATAGAGACCTGTGAAACTGGTCGCTTCATAAAGGAACTCGCTATAGCATAAAGAACGCTGAAGATAATGGTGCTGGTCTTGCTCATGTTCGTTTGAAATCTCAGATTTTTTGAAAATTGTTAAAGTGCACTTTTTTGGGGTGTCTTTCTTCGACTCTGATGTGGAAGATCAGAGCTTTTTTTCGCTATATGAAATCCGTCCCTTAAAGACATCTTGAAATAAGGTCATGTACAATTTTTCTAAAATGTGAGAAGTTTTCTTGTAACTTGCGTGACATACAGGCAGTTTTAAAATTTTTTCTCTCTTAAATCGCACCCAATTTGTTCTTTAAATTTGCTCGTCCTGTGCATCAAGGAATAGTAAAAAATGTGGCGCTAGTTTCATTTTTGGTGAACTATTTTCAAAAATTGCAAAAAGTTAAGCTTTCAAAACTACAAAATTAAGGATAGAGATTTTTGCTTAAGACAGTCTGTTCCAATACATCAGCTCTTTGTAAAGGTCATGTACAATTTTTTGAAAAAACTAGTAGTTTTTGTGTAATTTGGGTTTGACATTATTGGAATTGATAAAAAAAAACATTTTCTCAAAACAGTCTCAAAATTTGTGTCACTGATAGAAGAAGGGATGCTTAAAAGAGTGTTGCAGGTTTCATTTTTGTTGAAGTCTACATTTCCGAAAATTGTAACTTATGAAATAATGCTAGGAAGTATTTGTTGTTCTAGTACCACTAGTTTAAACTGTAATTTGGGAAGTTTCCATTTTTTATGCATCCGGAGTTTGTATTCTTTACAATGGTGGTATTATGCTAAGATTGTGGAACCTTTGTGTTGAAGTTTAAATAACAGCTTGGTCAAATATTTTTGCTGGTTTAACTAGTAACCATTATGAATTATACTAGAAAGCACATGCTATTGTAGCTGCACTGCTTTTTAACTGAAATTTCAATATTAAAAAAGCAAACAAAGCTAATATCAATATGTGACATTGAATAAAATGTATCAATACTGTAGTTTTTCTTTGAAGCCTGCTCTGGATAAAGGAAGTGATGTTTCTAAAGACTCTTTCCAGGCTTTAAACATGCTTAACCCAGATAAGAGTGATATTATCTCACATCAATTTCATGGAAAATATTGTTCACAATTTAAATAAGTGGTGGTCATTAAATACTGACTACTATTTATTTCTATCCCTTTTGGTATGTTTATTTTCATTCTTTTTTTTTTTTTTTTTTTTTTTTTTTTTTTTTTTTTTTTTTTTTTATCATCAAAAGTATAAGGAATGTAGTATTCTTGTACCTATAGTATTTGTTTTTCTTGGATGATGTTTCTTGTGAATTGAGTTGTTTTTTTAAAATCTTTCTGTGCATATGTGTTAGGCTTTGTGCCATCAGCATAATCATAAAATTTAGTTCAATGGATTACATTCCAAGAATACATTTTGCATTAATATGTATCAGAAATATAGGACTTACGTTGCATGTAATCTCTACTTTTGCTCTCATCATCTACATCTTAGTGTTTCCTCAAATGTTCCTAAAATGCAAGGTGGCGCATTACAAATCCATTGGACTTCCAAGGTATTTTTGTATTTCCTCATGTTTTTGCAACTAATTACCAAATGTTAAACTTTTATGTTACTTGTAAACACTAATTTGTTACCTAACAAAAAATTCTGGGAAAACTAATTAAAAAGGCACTCCAAAGGTATAATTTTTTTACATTCAAAAGTTTTTTGTAAGTTACACCTAAGCCATGTAATGCTGTGTGTTGTATTCTATCCATACAAAAAGTTTAAAGACAAAATTTGGAGATGTTTTTCAGAAAATGCTGTTCATGGATAGTTTTAAAATGGGCATGATTAAATTATAAATTACATGGTAACTATAAATATTTTGTAAACCCTGTAAATTGGTTCACTTAAAGTGGTAATATAATTGAATAGTCAGCATTATGTAAAAAATATGTAGTTTCAATAAGACATATTCCATGAAAAAGTTGAACTTTTGTGGTTGAAATTTCAGAAATCTTAATGTAAATCATTCTTTCACCTTATTTTTAAGCAAACTGTCCTCTATTCAAGAAGAAACTAGCAGTGCTAATAAAGCGTGTACTTTCTCGCCTTAAGTAATACTTATATAATATTATTTATGTAATTTCTTTCCGAAATAACTTATCTCAGTCATCATTTTTTGTAAAACTCCTTACAAATCGTAGTACATTTGGTACAAATATTAAATATTTTTAAGTTAATATCAACACATTTGACTATAACTGATTTTCATGAATCAAGCATCCAACTGCCTGGAATTACATTCACTAAGTACAATAAATTCGCAGCAGGCGACTATGTTTGTCGCCAAACTCCGCCAAAAATACTCACATTTTCAGAAAATTCAACACAACTTTATTTGAATATTTGTTTTTCATGAACACATTTTATTAAGAAAAATATTATATCTTTACAATTGTAGAAAGATGCTGAGTGTTTTTAAGTTTTTTAAATGTTCCAAAAACCAGGCATTTTAACGAACATGAAGCCTGCACCATTCTCTCAAACGTCCTGTACGCTATCTAAGGTCTAAATTTAATCAATAAAGTTTGAACAGTTTTTGAGAAAAAATGGTTTAAAGAAATTAAAAATTGCCTGTTTGACACAAAATGTTCCAAAAAAATACTCATGTTTTTGGAACATTGAACTTTACATTATTTTTATATTGGATTTTCATGTACACATTTCCTGAAGAAAAAAATAGTTGTAGTTGTAAGAAGACACTCAAAAAATTTGAAATTTTTCAAATGTTGAAAAATTACATCCAACATGGACCCATGTGTCAACAACAAAATGTAATCAAAACCGCAGCAGTCGTTTTTGAGAAAATAATTGTTTAAACAAAATTAAAAATTGCTTATATTTTACGCCAAATTACACGAAAAATACTCAAAATTTCGAAAAATTGTTCATGTACTGTGGCCAGTCTCAAAAACATCGTGTGGTGCAATCATTGTTTCTTGAAAGATTTTGGGTCTGTGTATCTGAAGAAGGCATTTTGAACAGAGTTGGTAGGGTCTTTTGTCTAAATATTTGTTTTTTATTTCCTAAAATTTGTATTTTTTCTTCTATGTGTAATTCATCCACCAACTGTATTATGTTTACATGATTAAATTGGATGATTTTTATATGTTGCAGTTCTACCACCAGTGTTGGTGCCTCGTCATAGTGAATTTGCTCCAAGCCATTCACTGTTACCTTTCCAGCAGTTGCCAGAACCTGCTATGCCGCACAATGTTTCATACACTGGAGGAGGATTCACCAACACACAATCTGGCAGCCACCCACATTTAAGCCCTAGCCCTACTTCACCCTTGAGTAGTGTGCCTAGTCCAGGAAGCACACATTCAAATCCACAGAGTCCATATGGCAATAATGGATTACCAGGTAAGATTAGTAACTATCATTGGTAATAAAACTACATAGAAAGACTCTGTAAGTGTTACTGATGTAGAAGCATCAGTGGTATTAAAACTAAATAATTATAATAGATTGAGATTGTGAACGAATGGCAATTGAATTTAAAGAAAAAATAGTGGCCATCAGCGTCAATAATGCTGCTGGACAAAACTACACAAAATGTCTTCTCAAAAAGGAGCGTGTACACTGTTCAAGATTAACAAATTAAATACTCTCGTATAACATTGTAATAAATATTTTAACAAAAACAGTCTTCTTAAATACTGCATTTCATAAAAATAAAAATGGAGTTCTGTCTCTGATTTCAATATCCATGATTTCAATGCCTTTTTATAATCCCATATACTTATTTAGATGGTTTTTACAATTTTTACTTTCTCGCACTTACTACAGTAAGAAGTGAAAATATTGTAATCGTGTGCTGGAAAACTGTGAATTTTAGACCCAAAAACTCTATTGCTGGGCCCTGGTAAGGAAAAAGTGAATAATCAAGTTGCTAAGTATAGAAAGAAAAGAATTTTCTAACACATGCTGTTGCCAGAATCCATGTTTCGTGGGTCCTTCATAAGGAAAAATTGATTGGTGGCAATACGTCTGTTTTGTGTCTATCTGTGCACAATGCACAGTGTGATGTCGGTTTTGTGTCTATCTGTGCACAGTGCATAAACTGTTCAACAGATTTTCTCTAAAATTGATATTCCCCAATCGTTGTAGCTAATGTCACTGACCCTGGAATTTGAAACTGATATTTTCATTTTGGGGGGTAATTTATATGAAGACCCTGAGACATTTTCAAAATAAAAAAAGAAATGGTTCCATGTTTTTTTATTAAATTTTGTTGTTGAATAGTACAAAGGACATTTCAGAGTCCGTTTTCATTGACTCTTCTAGTCCAGGTCTCGTTTTCATTGACATCCCCGATTTTTCAAAAATTTAAAGAAAAAGCCCTCAAAATCTGGGATAAATAATTTTCTCAGACAAAGTCTGTTGTACAAATTTTGCTCTTCAAAAAAGATCATGCACAATTTTTTGAAAAAAAGTAGTTTTTGCATATTTTGTGATTGAAATTTACAACAAAAATTCTTCAAAACCACACCAATATTTTGTACATACGTAATAAGAGATGATAGAAATTATTATGCTAGTCATATTTTTGGGTATTGCTCAGTATATAAAAAAAACATTTTAAATCTTGAAAATTGAAGATAAAAATTTTTGCCCTTGTCAAAGTCTGTTCTCAAAAACCGCTCCAATTTTTTTTAATATATTTACGTATGTAAGAAGTAGGGGGCGGATTTTAATAAAATGTTATTTCTTTCTTTCTTTTTAGAACATTGCTGTTTAGTATAGAAATTCATTTTATGTATTGATGAAAGGAATTTGTTGATTTCAACTAATAAATCATTTTTTACCCTCTTATGACATTTTTACTGTATTTTTCACTGATTTCGTCGATATTTATATAATTTTAATGGTACTTGCTTCAAACAATATTTACAAGATGCGAGAATTGTTCACCACAGAATTCCTGAGTTGCCTATTCAATTTCTTCACTCCTATATTATAATGTCAGCTGTTGTGAGTACTATGTAATCTAAGGTTCCTGTGACGTTGCTCTGCACCTTTCACAATAAATTAAGGCAGATTTCACGATAAATTAAGGCAGAAATTTTCTTTTTAAAAACAGTCCAGACCCAAAGTTTGCTATAATAAATAATAGGAAATAACAGGATGAAACCCCACATTAATGGTGAATGTGTCAAATTGAAATTTTTTACATAATTTTTCTTTGTTTTTAGGGCTTTTTTTAGAACATTTTAAGAGCATTTTATTGGTCATTTTTGGAGATGGTTTTGGCCATCAAAATCCCCCCCTAGTACAGTAAGAAATACGGCGCTAGTCTCATTTTCGAATATTGCTTTTTTTTTAATAGCCAAAACATTTTAAAACTAAAAAAATTGAAGATTAAAGATTTTTGCCTCAGGCAAAGTATGTTACAAGCTCTTTACTAAAGTTACAATTTAAAAAAAAGTAGTTTTTGCTTAATCTGCTTGAAATTAATGAAATAATTCAGGTTTCACACCAACATCAGACTACGATAAAAATTGAATTTATGATATGAAAAGTAATTAATTTAATTTTAATCATAATTTCCTATTGAAAATGCCAATATTAATTCTATTTTTGCTTTCTCACACTTTTACATTACTTCTACAATTAGTATCCGCAATTGTGTTGATATAAGAGTACGTAAAGTTGAGGGTCTGCTGACAGTTTAATGGCTTTCCTGTTCCATCATATGGGAGTCAAATAATTCTTAAAGTGTTGTGTTCATTTGTGGGCTATTCATAAAATTATAGTATTGTCCAGTTTAAGATATCATAAAACTGTGGTGGGCAAGCAACACCACCTAGAAACTGTGTATCTAGGTGATAGTACATCCAAGTGATTAATTATTTATTAATTAATTCCAGTAGTAATATCCAGGTGATTCATTTGGAATATTTATTAATTTAAGGGTTTCTTTCAGGGCTACAGACCATTCTAATTTATAAGATTTATCTTGATGGATACGCACACAGTGTTGCAGACTTTAACTTTTCTTTTAATTATAATATGGAAAATAAAAATGGGCTATTATATTATTTATTGATTGTCTATTTACTTGTAATTTATTTTTCGTTTCTTTTAATTACAGACAATCATTGAATAGGTTAAATCAGAAACTTGTCACTTTGAAAATGTATATATGTGGATTCCATTAAAATGATTTTTCTACATGTACTACGTATCGTGATATGGTTTATTACTTCCTCAGGCACATTTCATGTCAATGTAGTTGTCCTTTCATGTTCACACGTGTTGTAACACAAGCAATAGTGTTAACATTAACATTTATAATGGTATATATTCATAATGACATTCATAATAATAACATTCTCAATGGGATATATTGGATAGCATTTATATCTGGATGTTCCATTTATTTGTGAAATTATCCTTGCTTGTCTGTGTGATGTGCTGGAAAAAAAATGTTAATAATAGTTTTCGTTAATTTAGTATTTCATTATCCTTTTTTCAAAAAACTAACGTATGAACTTGGCAGTAAAGATGAAATGTTTTAGCGGGCTTTGTACTTCACTGCTCTTCAGAGCATCTACTGTAAAACTATCTAATTTCTTAATCTAGAGACTGATTATGGTTTTGTTTTGCTGTAAGTCTTCATTTAAAAGAAAACATTCTTGGAGACCTGGCAAAACATAATTGCATGTTTTCAAAACAAGCAATAGTGTTCCATATAGAACTCTTTAAAATAACTTTCAATAAACCACAATGCAAACTGAAAAACAGTTCCGTTGATGTCATAAATGGTGCTTTTCGTAAGAATTGATGAGAAAATATCGGCCCATTGTTGGCAGCACCCATTGCTGCATGCACGCTTTGTTGGCAGTGCTCATCAACTGAGATGGGTTGATATAGTCAGAAATAATGTAAGTAAAAGTAGATAAAGTAATGTAAAGTTGATATAGTCAGAAATAATGTAAATAAAGTGCAGTATATTACATAACCATTAAGGGGTGAGAAAGTGTGTGCTGTTTTAGCACTACTAATTTTGCATTTTTTTGTCGATTTGGACGAATAAGTCATTTTTCATCTTTTTCAGTCATTTTTAATTCATTTTTTGCTGATTTCATTGGCTTTAATATCGTTGTAATGGTACTTGCTTCAAATAATATTTATAAGATGCAACAAATGTTCTCCAAAAATTCTTGAGTAACCTATTTGATTTCTTTGCTCAGAAATTGTAAAGTCAGTGTTGTGAGTATGCAATCTAAGATTACTGTGGCCCCTATCAGCAGTATGGTCAGTTTGGTCAATTTCAGGGTTACTACAGTACAATCCAAACCAAAGTTTTGCAAGCTTAGTTCACTTGAACAAATGGAAGAAGCCTCGATTACATCAGTATCATATCTAACAGCTTGAGATGTTCATCCGATCGCATGTGTTGCCATTTTTCTTTTCTTTTAGGGTATTTTTAGAACATTCTAAGAGCATTTTATTGATAATTTTTGGCGATGTTTTAGATCATCATAATCCACCCCCTAATTATTACTAGTGTCTTATTAAAATTCTGTCACTTTTTCTGTGCAACATTCCTCTTAAACCAAATTGGTGTAAACTGTTTTTGGAGTAATTCTCTATTAAATTATACTTTATACTAGTTCTTTATGTATAGTCTGTAAGTTGGCAGTTGTCAAGAGGACTGCCAGAAAGCCTCTGTGTAGGCGGCTCTCAAACTTCAACACAAGCTCTTTCATCATACCCACCGGCCGGAATTGGGAAGGAATTAGGATAGTGGTATTATTTAGGACTCTTCACAGGGGTTGAATTACCCTTGTGAAGCAGGCAAACTCATTTTGTGGGAACAAATTTTACATGACAATGTTCGGGGGAATCAAATGCGAACCTTGGTCAGTTTTGTCATAAAGGTATCATTGTGTATGACAAGAATACATGTTGATAGGTTGTACACCAGTTTCGATTATTGAATGTAAAGTCTTCCCTATAGTGTTATTCATCCGGGCATTTAATCTGAATGTTCTAGAAACTCCTCCGCCAGCTTACAGTCCCCCAGAAGACAGTCAACAAGGTCAGGGATCGAATCTGAATGATCCTGCAGCAATGGATACAAGTAATAACATTATGGCAGATGTTGCACCAGTGTCCTATCAGGTATGTTATATTTTAATTATGCTGTTAATACTACCAGGGCTCTTGTGTTATTGGTTTGCAAATATCGATGCAATTACATTATGACCACCCTGATACAAGACCACTTATTGCACCAAAATGCAGATAAGTACATGCTGATTATGGTTTATAGAACTGCTCTTCAAGCTCATTGTTAATAGTGTCTTGTGGGTGACAAAGTGAGAAAAACGGTGCATTAGTGTTGTTATACATCATATTGAGTTTGGTATCATCATATTCAGTTGCTTGGTATCAGAATATATGAAACAGCTTACCTTGTTAGATGCTTCGTGGTACTGAGAGAACATGAGGATAAATAGTCTTACAATAAGGAGACAGATACATCATCCAACCATTGAATGGAGCTTCCGCAAGGGGATAGTTCAGGACATTCAGGATAGAGTGTAGAGGCACAATAGTGCTACCCCTGATAATGATTCAAAGTACTCTGTGTAATGATCAGTGCTATGGATAGCGCTGCAGAGTCAAAGATCACTTTCACCCAAATGCTGACCGCATGCCAGTTTGCACAAAGCCATCAACACTGTACTGTGAAAGATTGGAAACTTATCACTTGGACTGATCTGATGAATTGTTTCCTGGTTCATCTCATTCACAGCCAAGTGTGTGTATCCTGATTATTTTTGGAGGTACCGGCACATTCACTGTTAGGCAGACAGGCCAGAGGAGGAGGGGGAGGTATGGGAGTCTGGGCATTGTTTTTATGACAAACATTTGGAATCCGTTATTAAAATTCAACAGATCCTGACAGCTATCCAGTGTCTGGATGTTACTGGGGACCAAGTTAATTCATTCATAGCGACTTTGTTCTCTGCCGGCTGTGTCTACCCCCAGGACAATAATGCAGTTTGCCACACTGCTAGGATTCTGGAGGATTGGGTTGAGTAACAGGACTGTGTATATGCATTCACCCTTCAAGCATGCGGAATGTCTTTCAATATGCCCTACAGGAAGACAGATATAATGCGTGGAAAGTCATGTGGAATGAATTACATTCTAAGGGATTTTCATCAGTTCCACTTAATTTAAATAGATACCCTCATTTCACTCTAATTGCTGACATTCTTACAAGTTTGTCGCCATTTCTTTTTATGTGCAGTTTTATTACAATTTTATTGGTGATTGTGTGTTCGTGTACGTTTGTAGTGTACATGGGCATGTTCTTATGATGGCAGGTCTCAATAATAAGAAAATTCATAGGCTTGCATTTAAAATTTGGATTGTGAATTTGTATTATAATCAGTTACGTATTTATACGGTATAATGAAGTGTGTGGTGCAAACTATGTGAATTCCTACAAAGAGTTCCTGTTGATGTGAACCTATTTATTGTTTTTGATTATTTTTTGACCAATTTGACAATTGTGGTATGATCACATTTTTAAGCAAATTTCTTGCAATCCTCTCAAAGTAAATTCATTTCAAGTATTGCTTAGAGTTTGCAAAAATACTTAATTTCATCTTTTGTGGCAATATTTGAATTTTTGTTAAACATTGGTTATTAAATTAAATTAATTTCCTGTGTATGCTGTATATATTTCAAAATTTTAGTACCATACTTTTTGTAGATATGTGCAGTGGAGCATTTAAAGCCAGTGTCAGCCATCCATGTACCTAAAGAATGTTATGCTGGGCATACTACTAAGTTAAGGGATGTCACATCTGAAGGGGTAATGTTCTGGCCTCCAAATAGCCTGGATATAAATCCTATTGTACATTTGTTATTCAACTGGGTGAAGTAGGTTCATGCTACATCTCCACTACCCCAACATGTCAACAATTACTATAGTTTAATTTTTATATAGCTACCTCTCAAGACCAGTCTTCATGAGGGAATAAGTCACAGCATTTTGTGTCTTCCTCAGTCATGTTGCTTGTTGTCATATGATCGCAAGCACTGCTTGATACGGTCGCAATCTTGCGACATCAAGTGGCTTGAAAGATGTGAAATGCCACTACATATTTCATCCTCAAGCCCTGAAAGGCATCTGTATAAAAATCGCACTATAGAACTAGTCACTTTCTGTTACACTTGTGGTATCTCCCAGGTACTCCAGGATGCCTTCTGCAACCTCATTGAATCAATGCCTCACTCTGTGGTCACAATTTATTAATATGATGGCGTGGTCCTCAACTATGTTAGGAAGGTGGTCATAATATAATGGCTCAATGGTGTAGATTTTTTGTTAATTGGAAATAAATATAAATATTGAGTACTGATGATGCATTTTTGACAATTTCTAGGAACCTACTTTCTGGGCGAGCATCGCATATTATGAGTTAAATTGTCGTGTTGGAGAGGTATTTCATTGTCAGACAAATGTGATAGTTGTGGACGGCTTCACAAATCCCAGCAACAATTCAGACCGTTTCTGCCTCGGTCAGCTTTCCAATGTTAATCGGAACTCGACAATCGAAAACACTAGAAGACACATAGGAAAAGGTATGTATTAAAGAAATGATGGATTTAGATTGTGCTCTAGAGATTTTTTCCTTATTGTGTAAACAATCATCATGAATGAATATTTATTGAAAAGTTGGTAATATGAGAGAAAATTGATCAGTATCTGCACTCTTTTTTTGTAATTTATTACAGTGGTTCAAATTTTACAGTGCGATGCATCATATTTTAACACAGAATGATACAATCGTATTTTAACACAGTTAACATGCTTGTCAGTTCATTTGATCCATCAAAGAACAGTTCCCTCGCAATAATATAATTTTTTGAGTAGCGAGCCTCCTGCACGTTTCCATCACTTGGAGAGAAATTGACTGCCGCTTAAGGTATCTGTCAGTGAGCCAAGCACGATGCTCAAACACTTCAAAATATCAGTTTTGAAGTTTCAACATTCTGGATGGCAGTATGAGAATGTGTCGTCATGCAACAAAAAAATGCCTTTAAACAATTAACCTCAGGGTTCTCATTTGCAGAACCATGACTAATGTGATTATTGTTACATTAGTCAAATCAATGTAGTGGCTGAGACAATTTAGAATTTGTATGAGTCAATAATTAAAATTCATTTACAGAAATTGAGTGTAGTGAGTGTAAAAGTGATGTTAACCATTAACTACAAACCTTAGCAAGCCTACAAAGTTATCTTTGCGTCACACTCCAAACTAACCAACTTGCAACATACTCAAAACTCATACGACAGTGATAACCCTACTTTATGTACAAGTGCATGAAATGAATGTGAAAAAAAGTACTTGCAACCCAAGAAAAGAGAAATAAGACATCAAAGCCATGGAGAAAGAACTATAGCTTCATAATCTGTGTGGAAAACTCCTTCTCAGATCTAAGTTTCGATTCTGAAGAAACTATTGTGCCAGAACGGGTGATATTGGATAGTACCAAACTAGGTCCATGATCGGCCCTAAACCCTCAAGTGAACACGGTATTAGTAATAAACATTGAATCAAAATATATGCTGATAGCTATGGCTTAGATCTTTTAACAATTATGACGACCCTGCTCGTGATTGAGCTTCTGACTAATTTTGACATTGATACTTGGGTGAAACCAGATGCAAAATTCTCAGAATGTGAAAAAGAATTGTGAAAACCTTAAGAGAAAGGAGTTTGTACTTCTTGTTGGTGTGCAAGTGATGTTTCTTGTAATGAAACGAAGGAGGCTACATCCACACAGATCAAAACTTTCTCTCACGACTCTCACGAACAGAAATGTGATAGTGGTCAACATACCACACAGGTATGACCTCTGCTGTAGCTGGTCAATCATCAACAAAAAAAGTGACATTGGCTAATCAAGGGTGTAGAAGATTACGGAAGTCTTTTAAAAATGTGAAGATTAATTAATATTCAAAAATGCAATAGAACCTTTCACGCTAGGCATGGGCAGCATTTCAAAAAGACAGAAAAAAATATTCTGTATTCTACTATTTGTAAGGTTATTAACCCAGTTATTTCCAGAACATTTTTTGTTGCCAATATATTTCATATTTGCAGAATATGATCCTATAATGATTATAAATGTGTAGGATAACATTATACAAGACACCAGTATTTCTATCAGTAAATAATTTAGTGTTGCGAAAACGCAATACTGGGCAGATACTACCTCTTTTACACTTCTTATTTGATTAAGTGTCTGCACTGCAACGAAAGACGTTGAATATAGTGAAATCTTTACTGTGGCGTAAGAAATTAGATTTAAACATTGTTAAATAGTATGTATCTTAAAATATCATTAAAAAACTGTGCCTCTGACTGGGAGGTCCTATGTTTGAGTCCCGACAGTGGCAGGATTTTCAACACTAGCTTGTCAACTAGGTTGAATTTGATCACTGTGTGAAGGAGAATTCTAGCAGCTGGCTGCTCTGATCAGTAGTTTTTGGTGGTGTCTCCAATCAACACCAGCCAAATGCCAAGGCAGTACCCCAACAAATGGGTCATGGATCGTACGCAATTTTTCCTTCTCTTTCCTTGTCCTATCCTCGCCCCTTACTTACACACACTAACATACACTACACTACCACACATGCTGGGAGACCAGTCGGGAGCTTAGAGTCCCAGCTGGGGCGGTGCCCTGCTGGTGGGAGATACCTGGTTGTGGGAAAATCTCTCTAGCCTAGGGTGGTCAGTGCCAGATTTCGCTAACTAGTGTGGGGAAGATCACCACCAATCAAAACCATTCCAAGGGAAAAATCATGCCCTACACTTTCGGGACTAATGACCTTAGCTGTTGATGCGCTCAGAATCACTAATAAACATTTAATCAATCTAATCTCAAAATAAGACACTAAGTTTTATAACCAAATCGAACTACTTAGCCTACTTCTTGTTATATCTAAAAGTTCAGGTACTCGGACCATTTCATCCATAATAGTTATAGTTCCATCCAGAATAGCCCATTCTAATTATCTTCACATAGTAAATAAACAAACTTTAAATTAAACTTAAAATTAACAAACTTTCTTAAAGTTTCTGAATGTTAATATAACCTTTACCTTAGCTACTTAACAAATCAGTTTATTCTCAAAATTTGAAACCCATTTTTTTACAGTGCAAATAGCACAAACAATTTCTACTTATGTTCAATTAGAACACACTGGCTCAAGTACTGGAAGTGATCTTCTGAGACAACTTTGGATGTTTCTCATATTGAAACACCCTGCAATCAAAAGGTGATATATTTTCTCACAAACATCGTTGGGAACCATGAGATGTTTGATTGTTGATTTTTATTTCTGATGTCTTGATATATTGCTCTATGGTTGTTGAATTTGGAAGCAGCCTATGTAAAGGATTAGAAATAATTTCTACATTTTACTTCAGTTGCTCGTGATGAATATCTCTGATTTTTTTCGTATGTCCACAAGAGTGCTAATATGAATTTTGCTAGTTGTAAGTAACTTTCTGGTTCTATCGCTGGGGGAGAACTTTTTTGCCGAGGCAATAGTGATTTTGAGTGCATTTTGAGGAACGAACTTTTCTGAGTGTTATTTATAGCAGGGTCAGTATTTATTTTTATCAGCTTTCGTTGTTCATTTTAGAACTAGTTTCTTGCAGTTATTTAGTGACTTTTTTCCAACAACAAACCCTATTTCTATTTTGAATTTGTTATTTTTGAGCATGTAATAGTTTAAAGAATCAATACTCTTTGAAAATATAAAAATATATGTAAAATAAACTGATCAAGTAACACTTTTACAACTTTTTGTTTTTCATCCATTGTCTTTTAGTTCTCTATAATGTAACCACCGACTCACCCAATTTCCTTCGGCGATTCATTTTTGCCCGGCTGCTTCGTCGGCATAGTCCCTAGAGGGAGGCATGCGCGATTGCCTAACTACTGGATAGAAAGACTTGAGGCATTTTCTTAAATATTACTTTAATCAATATGTGATTCAGCGCGGGTGAAGCCCAATGCCAGAACAAAACTTACAATCAACTTACAACTAATCTTAACTTTTAAAAAAAACCGGCATGGTCAGAGTTCGTATCATCTCCGTGGTTTTTGCCCTTCCGGGCGGTCGTGACCCAGCTTAAAGGGACGGCGTTCGGGCATCCCAGCGCCTGGCAGGTCTGGCGGCGGGCAGCCACGGTCGGTGCTTGCCCCAGGTTCCTTTGTGGCGACCACTCGGCGGCGGCCCACTGTCACAGGATTAGGCCAGCGGCGTGCGTCGACCGGGCGATGGCCGGTCACTTCGTGGTCGTGTCTTTCACGCCCCGGCTCGTACTCACTTTGCTCTTGCGGTCAGGCACTCACATGTGTGTCCCGTCCCATAGTTCGGCTTCCGTCACGCGAGTCGGGCTGCGACAGTGGCGAGGCGGCGCGGCATTTGGGACAACCAGGTACGGATAGCCCCGGCTCCGAATCAAAGTAACAAGTCTACCCGCTCATCTGAAACAAGTGCTCTCGCTGCTGCCCCCAAAAACAAGTGCTCTCGCTGCTGCCTCCAAAACAAGTGATCGATTGTCTTTCGGCGGTCCCTCAGGAATGCTCGCGTATCATGTGATTCCTCCCCCGCCTCTCACATCGCGATTGGTAGTAGCGGAACCCGTGATTTCTTCGCCCTATCACGGCGTCCGCGGCAAAGCTGCGCCCCGGCAACTTTCTCCGAAGTAACCTCCGTCACGTAAATTCCAAGAACGGGGCGCGGGCACTTCCGTTGCTCTGTTTGGGGGTGCGGGAGTCGTATTTCCCCATGCGTCACGAGCGTGCGGCCGGCGTGGGTTGCGTTGAACAAAGGAGGTGCATTCCTCCGTTCCCTCGGCGCGCTAAGCGGCCTTCAGGTATCGCAAAAGGCACGTTTCCTGCTGCCCTTTACGCAGGCGCGCTTCCATTTTAAATTTAATATTTAATTCGCGTCGCCATCCGATATGTGCGACCGTCCCATTACAATAAACGCCTGAAAATACAGGCAAATATCAGCAATAATTAACAATAAATATTGTACTTTATACATCAAAAAATTGTTGTTGCCTCACTAACCAGGTAGATTCATGCATATTATGTAAGGGTTAATTTGAAGTATTCATTTCACAATTTCTTTTAAGCAAACTACACAGAAATATATAATTTTAGTATTCTTAAGTATACCATCAACATGAGTTTGCAATGCCCCATATTACTGTAAGAGACCAATATTGCCTGGAGTGCTGACATTTTCCTATGTATTAAAGCAGTCCAAGAGTCTCACGAATGGTCGGTGACCAGCACTCCAGCCATCAGAGTATGAAGCTTCGTCTGTTTGCAAGCCACGGCTGTTAGGCATTATGCAGGCTATGGTTCCACCAAAATTATCATCAGAACCTTTTCTGTTCTCTATTCTATTATCAGTAGGAGTAAAAACTACACCAAAGTTATCAGAATTTTTGTATGCCTTCAAATTCTCTTTCTAAATAGCCCAAAATTTTGTCTGTAGTAAGTTTCTTGATAAAAAGAATGTTGCTGCACATAAGTGCCATGTATGT